ACATCAACCTAAATTATGCATCAACAATTAGCATCAGGCCTGATTAAACAAGTGTAATAACATGAAATCCCTAAACAGAAAGTGCAATCATTCTGCAGCTTCAGTATGTCATGCAATAAAAACTTGTAGTGGTTCCATGACGCTCACTTGCTATGCTTTGTTTTCTATGAGGGAATTTAAAAAGCCAATTTTCATCTTAAAGTTTCTACCCTTTAAAGAAATGAAACATGATTCTAGGAAAAAGGTTGAAAATGGTAAACTTTGATCCTTTAGAATGTTACATCACAAAAGGTACTAAGTGTTCTCTACTAGATTGTAGTTAGATTATGATTTCTTCTGGATTCAAGATTTCAGTTCATGAATCGCGTAGTTTCTCTAAATGAGAAAATATTTTAAAGCATGAATCGCATAGTAAAACATTTTGATGCACCTACAGCTGAAGATTTTGTTTCGAAGCATTTTTAGTATCCTTGTCCCCATCCAAACAATTAACAAAAAGGAATTAAAGCATGAGAATATCAAAGGGAACAAACTTTGTTTGCACTCTGCAAGGGAGCGACAGTCTTCTTTTTTATCATGCATCTCTTGTGGTTTACAGTTTTGAGATTTCTGGACTTGCAACTCTTGCGCTTTACAGTTTTGAGGTACCGAAACACCTCTGGCTTGGAATAGAAACTACATTCTGTTGAGGGATCAATGTAACACTGCAATAGGAATACAATTATATAAGAAATAAAGAGAAATGTGTATTGTTGGAGTCAACACATACTGAGAAAGATCCCTGAAAGTTTCTTCACAATCCATTATCAACATCAACAGTAAAGTTAAAGGAGTAATTCTGTAACATCTGATAGACCCGTTCATTTCCTTCTTGATATGAAAGACAAAAAAGTAGTTACAGGTATGGTTGAAGAAAGAAGATATTACAGTTTATTGTTGGAATAATTATGCCAGACATGGCTAAGAAACAAACAACTGCTAGAATTCTATCGTACTAAAATCTTGGCTAAGGATTTAATGAACTGTTCCCACTAAAGACAAGAGGCGCACCATACCTGACCAAGTTCAGTAATAAATCTTAGATGAAAAATCAATTTCAAAAGGGTTAAACGCCTAGAATCCTTTCAAAACCACTAAAACTGTCTTCTTAAACTTATTTCTAACCTATGCCATGAAAGGAATAAATCACTACTTGGTTAAAGTAAAAAGTTATCATCTTATATCAAATATAATGTTACCCATATATTGATTAAAGAAACTATAGCATTGTTATACAGCCAACCATGCCGGCATACTCTATGGGAAAATTTAGGACGGTATATATTTGATATATATTTTCCAATTAAATTGCAATGAGTAATTAATACAGTCGTAAATATTGAGCGATGACATATTGCAGATGCATGTCAAGGTGCCAGGCCAACCATGCATTTCGGAATACGAGCTAAATCTCAATTATTAACAACCAAGGAGTTCCTTGTAAAATTAAAAAGGAGGTAACCACTAGTGATGACTTTATAACAAAAGGGAAAAAAAGGTGACGAGTATAAATTCAAAAGATGACAACAGAAATATACCAAAACTATTATTCAAAAAGCACACAAAGATACCTTGTATTCTTTTCCAACATGCACACCAGTCTTTCGCGTTCTCACCTCCACTTTCCAACCCTTGGGTAACCATTCAGGATATTCCGTTGTGTTCACTACAAGCTGTCAATACAAACAAGATCCAATAAATAGAAGAATCTAGAAAATGGTTTCGACAAAGCCCAAAAATAAAAGACTCACTTGAGAAGGAATTTTTTCTGAGTGGTTCTGGTTGTGCAGAGTAGTTGGCTGAGGATTTCCACCGTTGGTGCTTGCCATTTTGATATGGCGCATAACATCATCCTTAGAAAAGAAGTTTTTCCCAGTTTCCAAATTGGTATAAAACTGCAAATGTGAACGTGATTATGAGCTTAGTGATAGCACCATGACAGGATATTTTGATTCTAAACTTTCCGTTTTAGTTCACTAATATATTTCCTGTTTTAATACACGTCGACAGTAATTATTTATTCTGTTTCCAAGTTGACGTACTTTTCTAACTGTATTGCTCAATTAGGTCACTGGAAAGGAAAAAAAAAAGGTTAAAAATTGTTCCTCGGACATAGTGATAAGATTTCCAATTTGGTTCAGATTCCAACATTTCTCTCAGAACAGTCATTTTGCACCTGCTTCCAGTTCAAGAATTATGTCACACATCAACA